TGGAAAGTGAGGTGTCAAGCCTGCCGATACACCCATTGAACAGAATCACAAGATCAGTGCAAAGGATGGGGAGCCTCTTGAAGACAAAGTTATGTTCCAACGGTTGGTTGGAAAGCTCCTATATCTCTGCCTCACACGGCCAGATATCAGTTATGCAGTCAGTGTTGTCAGCCAGTATATGCATTCCCCTAGAACTACTCATCTTCTTGCAGCTGAGAGAATATTAGCATACTTGAAGAGATGCCAAGGTAGAGGTATACTGTTCAAGAACAATAATCACATGAAGGTGGAGGTCTATACAGATGCTGATTGGGCTGGGAGTGCTGATGACAGGAGGTCTACCTCTGGATATTGTGCCCTTGTAGGAGGTAACCTTGTCTCTTGGAGGAGTAAGAAACAAAGTGTTGTTTCCCGCTCTAGTGCCGAAGCTGAATACAAGTCAATAGCTAACGGAGTGGCTGAAATCACTACTTGAAGAGTTGGGTATTGATTATGAGAAGCCCTTGATGTTGTATTGTGATAATCAGGCAACTATTAATATAGCTCACAATCCGGTGCAGCATGACAGAACTAAGCATATCGAAGTTGATCGACATTTTGTCAGAGAAAGGGTCTCAACTTGAGGGGGAGTGTAGAGAACACTGATGTGGGCCCCACGGCTGTGGTCCCCACTGTCCGTATGACAGCATGTGTAACCTTTGTTAGTTATGACGGTGTTAGTTGGTAGTTATCTTAGACAGCTTGATATTTCATTACTTGTTTCAGTTTATTATTTTGTTTTATTTGCCATGTAAGCATTAAGGGCAATTCTGCCCTTTCCTACATTTAGTGAACATAACGTATAAATATTAAGAGAGTGGCGGCTGCAGATTCATTCGATTTGTCCCTCCTTTCAAAACCCTTGTGTACTTCTACTTCTTCTCCTTTCTTCTCCCTCCTTCTACTTTTCTCAATCCGAAATCCTTTTGAATTCAAGACTGACTGTAATCTTGATCGACTACTAGACAAACAGTGTTTGACTTTTTGACTGAACTCAACCCAAAATATGATATTGACCAACAAAATATATTTGCAAAGGATGAGGTTATACTGTCTCAGGCATACTCCATGGTTAGTAGTGAGGAGACTAAATCCTTACACTATTGCATAACCTTTTTCCTTTCATATTGTGTTTTTAGGACCTCAAGTCTTAGAAGGTGATTGAGAGTGGCCATGAGGTGAATGGAATATACTTGTATGTGCCTAAGAAGAGCCTAGTACAACCTCAAAGGGTTAATTTGGAGTTAATCCTAACAAAGTCTATTAGCCATATTATGCTATGTCATTTTCGTTTAAGTCATCTCTCTTTTCTTCTTTGAGTCTTTTGTGTCCAAACTATTTAAGAATGTTAGTTTGTCTAGTCTCCATTGTGAGTCATGTCAACTTTCAAAACATGTAGAAATTCTTATCCATGACTAATAAAATATGTAAATTTCCTTTTGACATTGTGAACTTTGATGTGTGGGGGCCATCTCATTTGCCTTTAATGGGTAGATATAAATATTTCATGTTGTTTATTGACGATTTTTGTAGATATATTTGGTCTTATTTAATGTGTTCACATGATGAAGTTCCTAAACTTGTTAAGTAGTTTCATGAACTTGTTCTCACCCAACTTAATACCTGTATTAACTATTAAGATATTCTACTCTAACAATGCTAAGGAGTATTTTGAGTTGCTATGGTTCATGGTGTGTATGAGTTGCTATGTCTTAGATCTTTCTTGGAGGAGTTGGGCATTATCTATGATAAACAGATGATGTTGTACTATAATAATCAGACAACTATTAATATTGCTCATAATCCTATCAAGCATGATAGAACCAAACATATTGAGGTAAATAGACATTTCATACAGGAAAAAGTTGCATCTAGAGAAATTTGTCTACCATTTACTGCATTTAAGGAGCAATCGACTAATGTTCTTACAAAAGGACTTGCAGAGCACAAGCTACACCAATATGTAAGCAAGTTGAGCATGATTGACATCTATGTTCAGCTCAATATGTGCAGGGGTAAGGCTGCGTGCATCTGTCCCTCCCCAGACCCTGCATTAGTGGGAGCCTCATGCACTGGACTGTCCTTTTTTATCCATAATGGGCCTACAACCCTTTTATTGTTGTTAGTTATGCAGTCGTCCTACTAAGGGTATTCATGTAATTTACACTCTAATGTAATTAGATGAAATAAAATTCAATTAGAAGCTGGGAGATCTTAAGATCATTCGTTTTCCCAAACCCTTGTCTTTCAGAAACCAGACAAAAAAGCATCCCTCAATGACCGATGCTTTCTTCTCAAATGATCATGGTTTCTTCAAATGTAGTGATGATATGGGCTGTTCTCATTGGTTAAACAGCCCAAAATTGATCCTGTCAAGTGTATCAAATCCAGATTCATTTGGGAGGACAACACTTAAGCATGTATTTTGTCTGGCTTCTGAAGACCATATGAGGGCCACTTAGGGTGTATTAAACCAGTGGAGCATTTTTTTCTTTTTGATAAATAACCAGTGGAGCATTTCTACATCATTTTTGTTAGGAGTTAGTTGTTTCTTCAGATTTGTTGTTGGATTACCTGACAACTGAACCATTCAAGCATGTTACCACATTGTCGATTGAAGAGACAGAACAATCTTACGATGGAGACAACTTCATCATCATCAACATCCAAGCCTTATCCCACCTATTTGGGGTCGGCTACATCAATCCTGTTTCACCAATTGCCATTCCATTCTATTTAATATCATATCCATTGTTAAATTATTAGCACTTAAATCATTTCTTACTACTTTCACCCATGTCCTTTTTTGTCTACCCCTACCCCTTCTAGCCCCTTGAACTTTCAACAGATCACTTCTTATGGGTGTTGACAAAGGTCTACTCTCTCTCATTTTATCACCTATTGGAGCTACTCCTAGGTTCCTTCAAGTGACCTCATTTCTGACCCTATCCTTTCTAGTTTTGCCACTCATCCATCTAGGCATATGCATTTCTGCCACACTGATTTTTTGAACAGGTTGATCAACAAAGTTATTAGTCCTCTGAACTTTATCTGTTTAGGCCTCATATTCAAGATAACCTATAAAACCATCCTGGGCGCATCAGCTTTGTAAACCATGAAATATATTTGGCCAGTTAAAAACTAATGGACATGATGATAATACTATCATTCTGATAGGTAAATAAGCAAAATTTTTTACCTGTAAAAATAAAATAAAGAAATTACATAAATCAGAAATAACAATTCAGAGGATTAGTGGGTGAACATACAGTATGCGTAACTGTGGAATTTTTGACAACTCTGGTGGAAGATACCCAGATAAGTTGTTATTATCCAAAAGCCTAGAAATGTTCATATCATCAACAACAAAATCATAAGCACAAAAAAACATAATTTTATCAAATCTAAAAGTGTAAATAATTAAAACTAGAGAATGGTATTATATGAATAAGAATACATAATTTTACTGAATCTAAAAGTGTAGATAATTAAAAACTAGAGGGTGGTATTATATGATTAACAACAGAAGCAACCACTATATTAACTCACAAGTGAAGCAAATTAGGTAATTTCGAAAGCTCGGGTGGAATTTGCCCAGTAATTGAATTATTGTTCATGTGGCTGCAAAAAAATATATATTTTATATCAGAAAAATCATAAATTTCTAAGCTAACTAAAAAGAAATATCAAAGTTAAGTTGCCACTAACAGATGTTTAGTGCTATTCAAGTTGGCGAATGACTTTGGTATTGATCCCGATATTTGGTTCTGGTCTACTTGGAGTCTATTTAAATTGGGAAGAAAACCAATCTCATCTGGTAAAGAACCTGTTAATTTGTTTCCATTCAAGAGCCTGCATATGTACACATAGAGAGTCAACATCTCAAACAATCAAAAAACCATATAAGTAGGCATATAAATTGAGCAAAAGATGGATAGACATTCATGAACGAGTAGTACTGAGAACTAATCACCTTTTTTGTTTATTTTCTTTATGGAAAAAGAAAAAATGCCAATAGTTGAAGAATCAAGAACAAGTTATGTAGAATATTTCTTGTAAAACCTGGTCTGGTCAACAGAGCATTTAGAATGAATCAATTCCCATGTCCAAAGAATCCTTATATGCTTTATTATAAAGCTATGTACAACTACATGAAAACCCTTTTAAGGCCAAACCAGGAAAAGTAAGGGTAGTGATTTTATCACATCCCCTCTTTGATCATCCTTAGTGAAAAGATAAAGAAACCACTGTTGCTTATGATAGTAGTGAAAATATGGTATGATTTTGACTTTTGAATATGCACTTCTTGAACAATGATTGGGGATATGCCCTTTTCATCAAAAATGGGGTTTTCCCAAGTAACTCCCCAAAGGTAAAATCAAAAGATTAATAAAAACAACAAAAGAATGCAACCATGATCAGTATTCCATTAGAATTTCTGGACACTCCTACAATTCCTAAATAATGATTAGGGATGTGCGCTTTTATCAAAAACGGGATATGCCCAAATCACTCCCCAAAAGTAAAAGCAAAAGATTAATAGAAATAACAAAAGAATACAGCCATGATGAATATCTCTCTATTAGAATTTTTGAACACTCCTCAAAAGCCTAAATTCCCTGGGTTTCCTAATGAGCCACCACCAAAGTTCAATGTGACCACAATTTGGGATACAGGAAACCAACTTTGAATTTGAATCTGTCTTCAATGGAGGATTTAGAGATTTCATGCCAAGCTCTTAATATGTCATCAAATGAAAAATTACCACTTCATCTCTTGTAAGAATCCAATAAGCTACCACTGTATGAATAATATTCATTGAAGTTTCTAGCTGTTTTTTCCTGTCTTGGAAAACTCTATCTCCTATGAAAATCAAAATAACAACTGCTCCAGTACACCTTCCCTCTTTTTGCCCTAAGGCTCTATAGGAGGACCACTCTAGCTCATTTAGGATTCCAAATCAAACTCTGCCACTTCTATGACTGAGAGTGCTTCCCTTGCCCCATTGCTACATAAATATCCTACCAATTTAACTGAGCCCCTTCAGTCCTACAACCAGCCCCATTTAAGTCCAAGCACCCACTAAGTGCATGTCAACATCTATATCTGAACTGCTTGAGGCAGGTAGCATCATTACTGCACTTGCAAGATCTGCAAGGATAAGTGATACTTTCAATAATTTAACCATTCAAAGCTTTAAAGGATGCACCATTCCTTTCACATTAAACCTCCTTCCCAATTTTCTGCCCAGTTTCAAACTCTTGGTCACTACTTGACACCTGTCCCCTGCCTTTTGGCACAAATCTAACTTTTTTTTCACCCTTTTCCTTAAATAAGCTTTAGGATCCCCTTTGTCTAGTATGTTAAGAACCTTACTAACTTTGGAGATGTTTATCCCCCCAGCATGTGATGGCCCACATGCCAATGAATGCCTTTCCCCAAGCCAAAAAAAACAGGTAATCTTCTCAGTTTGGCCCTTTGCTTAGGTGCAGTTCAAAGTTGCATAACCAAAATTTCACTTACTACCTTCTATGCATCTATAAGCATGCTTGTTGGAGGTTAGTCCAAAACAACTAGGAATTGATAAATCCAAAGTCCAACGAAGCTAGATCATGTGCTATATGCAATTAGAAGAGATGTGAATCAGTCCTCTAATATCAGGTTTAAAATCAGTGATTAACAGTACAAATCAGATCTGAATGATAGTGCAAGAGCTGTGTATGTCGAAGAAAAGAGATAAGAGAAGAAGAAGTCGAATTAGTCTTCCTTCTCCTCTAACCCTATTTTTTATTAATCTCTAAAACAAATTGATGATGACAAGTATACCCTTAAGTGGGCGGCCAGCTTGGCAGTTACATAAAGAAAATAAAATAAGAACAACTAACAGGCCCATTAAGTGAGGCCCATCAACATAAAATAAAAGATAAAATAAAAGATATCACATAAGAGGCTGTTAGGGCCCATTCGGCCCAGTCTCTTTACAAGAAGGTAGTAAATGAAATTTTTACCCAAGAAGATTCATTAATTAAATAACTTTCCATACTCTATCTGTTTAAGGGTATGAATCATACTCTAATGGAGACACGGCATTAAGACTGATAGGCTTGGAAAGACAACCAGCCCAGCCTCGAAGACCCAGGCCCATCACTTCTTCTCCCTTTTCTCAGTCCATTTCAGGAGGGTGAGCTCCCTCGAACCAGCTCTTGTCTCTTAAACATACGTTTGTGGAAGTAAGGATCTTATCAACTGGTATCAGAGCCGAGCTCACCCATGCCCAGTACCAGATCCATGGCGGTGGATGAACGGATTGACCAGATTGAAGTGGAGGTTAGGCAGACCACCGAAGAGTTAGGAGACATCAAGGAGACACTGACCGCTTTGGTCGGTCAGTTTGAGTCGATGCCAGTAGCGCCCAAGGAGTCTGAGCCAGAAGGATCTAGCAGCAACGGAGGATGAAGAGTTGGGGCTTTCCCAGTCAAGGGCAGCTAAGATCGATTTCCCTACCTACTCAGGTGATGACCTTGTACCCTGGATTTACCGGGCCGAGAGGTTTTTTGAATTTCATGAAACTCCTGCCAATCAACGAGTGGTCATTGCCTCGATCCACATGGATAGGAAGCCATTTTGTGGTACCACTGTTCCAATGGTACCATAAGACCCACCATCAGACCACATGGTTGGACTTCATCAAGACCTTATGTGTGAGGTTCAGTCCTTCAGGATATGAGAATTTCAATGAATATCTTTCAAGACTGAGACAGTCTGGAACCGTAAGGGAATACCAGAAGGAATTCGAACGAATTGCTACCCGTGTCCATGGGTGGCTGGAGGCAGCTCTAGTGGGTTATTTCATTGGGGAGCTCCGAGAGGATATACGAATTGAGGTTAACGCCATGCAGCCAGCCACCTTGGTAGCTGCGATCGGTCTAGCCAAGTTATAGGAAGAAAGGTTGAATAGGCTGAAGCGGATCGGCCGGCCCACTTTACCCATGGCCAGCCCAATTTTAAAAACCTCTGCCATCAAGAATGAACCTAATTTAGGCCCACTATTACCAACCCCCAACACCAACATGGTTACCCCTCCTGCTAAGAATCCCGGAACCATGACTCTCCCCTACTAGAAGATGTCCTGGACTGAAATGCAAGCCCGGTGTGAGAAGGGCCTCTGCTATAACTGTGATGACAAATTCGTTCCTAGCCATAAGTGCAAGGCCCAACAAGTGTACCTACTGCAAGTAGACGAGGAGAGTGAGCCAGAGGAAGAACTGGGTGACCCAACATTTATCAAAAAAAAAGAAGGGTTACCCAACTAATATTGTTGAAGTACAACAAATGGAGGTAGTCCCCGACGTTGAATATTATGTGATTTCTTTGCAAGCCTTAGCGGGTTATTAGACCCCACAAACTATGCGGGTCCGCAGAAAGGTCCTAGGCCAAAAGGTGGCAATATTAATTGATAGAGGGATCTCACTAAACTTCATCATCACTGGGTTAGCCTAACAACTTGGGTTACCCGTTGAGCTGGTATCCCCGTTTGTCGTTAACGTGGCCAATGGTCACCACCTCACTTGTGAAGGGAGATGTAAATCAGTAGGACTCAAGGTGCAAGGACATGCGTTCAACATAGACCTCCACCCCCTGGAATTTTCAAGAACGGATATAGTCCTTGGGGTACAATAGTTGCAACTACTAGGCCCAGTAGTGTGCAACTGGACTGAACTTACTATGCAATTTGCACATCAAGGCAGTGCATTCTTAAGGGGACCCACATAGTACCCATAGTCGTTGATTCACCTAGTGTCCTCAAGAGTTGCCAACACAGGGACACCCCACTTCTTATGAGCATGGGCTCCCTACCTATTGGGCCGACCATATCCACACCCCCCGATAACCTGAGCCCTTCCCCAAATAAAAACCAACAACTACAGCAACTACTTCACATCTATTTGGATGTCTTCCAAGAACCCACTACCCTACCACCCCACCGAACCCATGACCACAAAATCCCAATCCACCCAGGGGCCCCACTTGCTAATGTAAGACCTTACATATACCCCCATTATCAGAGAGCTGAAGTGGAGCACATGGAAAAGAAGTTGTTGGGTAAAGGGTTCATCGTCGACTACTAGGCCTTAAACAATATCACAGTGAAGGACTGCTACCCCATTCCCTTGATTGAAGAACTCCTTGACGAATTGGGCCAGGCATAATACTTTTCTAAGTTGGATATGCGGTCTGGGTACCACTAGATCCATGCCCACATTGAAGATATCCATAAAATGGCTTTCCAGACCTCAGATAGACGTTTCAAATTCCTAGTAATGCCCTTTGTCGTAACTAATGCACCCTCCACATTCCAGAGACTCATGAATGAAATTTTTAAACCCCACTTGTGTCGATTTATACTTGTATTTTTCGGCGATATATTGGTATATAGTCCCAACTGGGGTACCCATTTGGAGCACCTCTAGTTCACACTTGACTTGCTCTGGTTGCACCATTTGTTTGCCAAACCCTCCAAGTGCTCACTCGGCTAGACTCAAATTAATTACCTTGGGCATGTGTTAATGGGCAAAAAGGTGTACACTGACCCAAACAAGATCTTCTATAATGGTGAATTGGGCCTGACCCATTTCTCAAAAGGGCCTCGGGGAGTTCCTTTGGCTCACCGGCTACTACCACCGGCTCATTCCAAGGTATGGGCATGTGATAATGGGCAGAAAGGTGTACACTGACCCAGGCAAGATCTTCTATAATGGTGAATTGGGCCCGACCCATTTCTCAAAAGGGCC